GACATGAATGCAAGACTAGGTGACTTTGGTCTAGCCAGAATGCATGATCATGGTCAAGTGGCTAACACGACTCGAGTTGTTGGCACTGTTGGTTACTTGGCACCAGAGTTTGTCAAGACTGGCCGTGCCTCTACACAAACTGATGTGTTTGGATATGGAGTTTTAGTTTTGGAGGTGATGTGTGGAAGGAGGCCTATAGAGGAAGAAGGCAAGCCCCCTCTATTGGATTGGCTGTGGGAACTAATGAGACTAGGCGAATTGATTAATGCCTTTGATCGTCGATTAAGGACAAGTCAAGATTTCAATGAAGAGGAAGCCTTAAGAGTATTACAATTAGGCATGATATGCGCGAGCCTAGACCCCAAAGGTAGGCCAACCATGAGACAAGTAGTGAAATTCTTTGAAAGGAACAGTGAGGCTGATGAATCTGAAGCTGAGGATATGGATGTTTACCTTCTGGAGACTTTGAGATCTAATACCATGTTGTCCAATTTTTCCTTAAGTTTGAGCCATGGTTCACACCCAACATTTGAAGAAATTAGAGAAGGTTTGTCTTCTTCTATGTCTATTTCTTGGACAAATTCTTTGGTGGATGGTAGGTGACTTTTACATCTCTGCAGGCTGCTAAGAGGATGGTTGGTTTTTGTTCATCTCTCTGCTTGAACTCTTGGTACCTGCATTTCCAATACTTCCAGGGCTTAGCATTAGTTGACATGTTAGTGCTGCTTCATGAACATATTTATAGGTTGGCTAAGGAAAAAGGGTTGGTTTTGAGATATACATGTATTATTCATTTCTTTTTTATTACCTTGATAGTAGTTGCAGTGGAAGAATTTGTTCTCTTAGTTTTAGTTTCCCCCATAAGAGAATCTGTTCCTTGTCTTTTTTATTTCCACTGGCTATGTTGATGAATGATGATGTACATATATGAAACTCATAGTATGATGTATATACTTATTCTTGATTTGCTTGGTTGGAACATTTCATATAATAAGAGTAATTAAGATGGCAACAAGAAGCACCAGTGTTCTAGTGCCTAGTGATCTGGTGCATATATCTGTTGGCAAGGGTACTTTTCTTGGTACTGCTCCCAAGAGAAAGCCAATTTCCTTTTTTTTCCACAAGAGAATGTGTTCCATATCATTTTTATTTTTCAGAAGATATGTTGATGATGTACCTATGTGAAACTCATAGGATGATGTTAATAATTAAATAATCTTGATTCGCTGTGTCGGAGCATTTCATAAATGATTTTCAAACTAATAAAATAAGAGGATTGCACCATTCAACAAGCACCAGTGATCTAGTGGTAGAATAGTACCCTGCCACGGTATAGACCCGGGTTCTATTTCGGCTGGTGCAATTATATAGTTTTTGGCGGGATAAAGCATAAAGCCTATTTTCTTTATTTCCATTTTCTAATCTTTTTTGAGTTTGAAGCCTGCTTCTGTTAAAGGGCTAGAATCCATGATTTGTGGATCGTTCTTTCATGTTGTGGATTAGTTCTCTGCTATGCTCAATATGCCTCAATAAAGTTAACCCATTCAAAAAGAGAAAAAAAGAACTTGTCTAAGGTGCACAAATAATGATTTTTATTTTACGCTATTTCTTTTATCAGTCGATGACAATGAGACTGTGAAATGAGAACCTTGGTCTTGCAAATTTGTTCATTTTTTGGTGTCTTTAACATTCTTGACGATGAGGGAAAGGTAGGTAATATAGTGCCTCACTAAATTTACTCCTTCACTCCCTAGTTTTCCTCTAATATTGAAGATTTCAAGTCAAATTGACTATGCTCATAAAGTTGGAAATTTTACCTCCTATGGCAAAGGTATACACCCTATTATTATAAACCAAAATTATTTTAAAATATTATTTTCTATAACTACCTGTTATATTTTATAGCAAAATAGGTGTTTACGGTATATAGTACCGTTGAGGCATGAAATACGCTATTTATGTTTTTCTTCTCTCTTTCTTTCAATTAACACAAGATTCTGTCTCAGATTTTTTTCCCCTTCTCTCTCTCTTCCTTCTCTCTCTCTTTGAACAACTCAAGCCCTAGTATTGATGGCCGACGAGAAAGAAGAATCTCTCTCTTAGAGTTTTTCTTCTTTCTCTTTCTCTCTTCGAGCAACTCAAGCCCTAGTATTGATGGCCGACGAGAAAGAAGAGTCTTTCTCTTCGAGCAACTAAAGATACATGCCCTAGTATTGATGGCTGACGAGACATTAGAATAGAGTAGAAGGCAGCAGGAAACAAAAAAGAGTGAATTTTTCGAACGGAAAGGAGCAATGTGATGAACTCTTATCATAAATTTGTTGTACGGATCCGACGAACTTTCTTCTCTTCTTGGCCGAAAAACGCCACAAATTCACTCAAACACATTGTACTTTTATATAAATATATTTTTTGCATGTATGTATGTATTTCGAAGATCTGTATTTTTTAGTACAACTGAATACACCTGTGCATTACAATATGCATGAATACATGATATAAATATTGAAATACTCTGAATACAAACTTTAAAATAGAATAGAATATAAACAGTGAATACATTTAATTTTAAAATACAGTGAATACAAATAGAAATACAGTGAATACAACCAATGAAATATACTGAATACAGTAGTAATAACATGTATTAGGAATAACTAAAATACTGTTAATACATTTGAATACACTGGATATAAGATAGCGAATACAGTAAATACAAAGATTGAATCTAATGAATGCAACAGTAAAAAAAATTTATTGAAACATACTAAATATAAAAATTAAATACAACAGTATATACAACTGAAAAATCATTCTAATTAATTGGGTTGATAATGAGACATGTTAGAATTGATTTTGTTGAGTTATATTAGGAGTATATCACGCTAATTGATATATATTTTCGTTATTAGACAACTGGACATACATATTTTTAAGGTGATTGCCGTTATTGTATTCATGAATATATGACGCGAATACATGTGAATACATGCGCGTACAACTGGACTGCCATAATTTTATGCGCTTTTTGCTGCTGTATTCATGAATACAGCAGCGCAAATATAGAGAATACACTACCGTAACAACTGAATAGTAGCTATAGGAAGTAATTATATATATGATTGCTATAAAAAGTTAATATCTACTAAACACTATTGGTTTCTGAAAATTCTTCAATAAAGTTTAACTCGTGGTCTACAATTCTATCATATAAAACAACTCCGAGTTAAGAAGAAAGTCTTTAATTATGTTTATAATAAGGAATTTTACCTACGAAATATGATTTTGAGTCATGAGAAAGTTCTTTGCTCAATTCATATGATTTCTCATCTACGTTAACAATTTGATTATTCAGGAGGTCTCTCTTTGTTGGGCTTGCTTGAGAGTTGATATAAATGTGGACTTATTCAAATGGTGGCCCATTTCAAGAAATGGGACCAACGAATTTAAGAACTGAAATACTTATGCAATTACACTAGTTAAAATAGCACGGAGTAGCCAGTTTTCGAACTGGTCATTCAAAAATAGTCAGCGTTTGTCAAGTCATTAAAAAATAGCCAGTATTTTGCTGCAACAGAGACTGGTCCAGCATAATATACTGGAGTTCGGTGCACCTGTGTATGAACTTCCAGCATATTATGCTGGACCGGTATACTTTGCTAGCTCCAGTATAATATGCTGGAGTTCCAGTATACTTTGCTGGAACTCTAGTATAATATACTATAGTTCCGGCAAAGTATATTGGAACTCCAGTATATTATACTAGAGTTCCAGTATATTATACTGGAATTCCAGTATATTATGTTGGAGTATTTTCCGTATTTTGAATAGTGTTTTCGTCCAGATTTATCTTACATGAAAAGTGGCTAAATTTCGATGACTTTTGAAATTGTGGTTATTTTTGAATGACCACTTGTAAATCTGGCTATTTTTGAATTTTTTCCATTATACTAACATAACGAAAGAATATATAGAGAGGGTGTACGACATATCATGGTTAAAATAGCACAGACTAGCCAGTTTTCGGACTGATCACTCAAAAATAGCCAGCGTTTGCAAAGTCATTGAAAAATAGCCACTATTTTGCTGCAACATGGAAAGTTACAGTGTAATATACTGGAGAGCGGTGCACCTGTATATGAACTTCCAGCATATTATGCTGGCACTCCAACAGGCGGAAAGTTCCAATATAATATGTTGGAGTTTGGAGCATCGGTGCTCCAATATCCAGTATATTATGCTGGACCGGTATATTATACTGGAACTCCAGTATATTACACTGGAGTATTTTTCCTGATTTTGAACAGTGTTTTCGTTAAGATTTACCTTTACATGAAAAGTGGTTAAATTTCGATTACTTTTTAAACTGATTATCTTTTAATGACCACTTGTAAATCTGGCTATATTTTAATTTCTCCCCATATCATGTTATACTAGAAAGTGTGTATGCAGTTTCTGAATTATACTGCGAAGTCTGAAATAAATAAAATAATCGAACTTCAAATGTGATTTCCGGCAGCCATATAAGCATGTTGTGAACGGGGCCTAGTTGTATTTGCGCCTCTTGCCTCAAGTTCCGTCTCATAAACTTCTTAATCTTATTGATTCGTTAATGTTAAGACATTGACTTTTTTTGTTATTCACATGGATAAGTAATAAAGATGAACATATATGTTATAGTATTTCTTTTTCTTGTAATCTTCTAATTTTAAGGAGTTCAAATTAATCAAGCAAAGCAACTCGCTCTTAAAAATGGTTTCTGAAAGATGGAAACTGGATTATGTAATTATTGATGATTGACTTGTGTTGGATTTAACAAAGTGTAAATGAGTCTTCATAAACACATGCGGGGATAGCTCAGTTGGGAGAGCGTCAGACTGAAGATCTGAAGGTCACGTGTTCGATCCACGTTCACCGCATGTTATCTTTTTTCTTTTTTCATACGCCTCTTGAATGCTAAGTTGTTAACTAGAACTGAAATGGTGATATTTAGCCCTCAGTTAAGGGATAAGATGTTTTCCTCTCTTTTCTTTATTAGTGTCAAACTCATTCAAAAATCGTACACAGTCAGCCACTTTTCACTTGTTACAAAATATAATCTATACTCGAGTTCATTAGCTTATTATAAGCTCAAAGGACTAATTAATGTCTATATATCTCTACCTTCACACCACTTCAATAGCAGTACGATGTAAATACGGAAAATTTTCCAACAAATCAACAGTTAGCATGGATGTCTTCGGCCGTGGCAATCGGCTTGAGTATTCGTCAGTTGATAATTGAGGTTTAGCAGTCACACGTTCAGATGTTTTAAGCCACTTAGCTTGCATGTATTTTTGCTTTCGCCATGGCCCCATATGCATTTTCTTCTCCTTCATGCATTTCTTAGCAGCATCGCACAAAATTTTGATTAGTGACATTAATCTCTCAATTTTTCCAACAAATACTTCTGGTAGGCATTTCACCAGTCGATTGTACTCTTCGCTTGCTTTCGCTATTTCAAACTCGGCTCGAAAATTTAATTCAATAATAACCCTTACTTCTCCTCTTTTAGGGTTGGAATTGTCTACCACGTCTATGAATGTGTGTTCACCTGTGACATGGTAGAGGAAACAGTCAACATCTTTGTCACAGGTAAAAAAAAAGTTACTGATTTGATTTATACTAGCTCCTTGTAGGCAAAAGGATATCCTAGAACTTTGGTCACAAACTTTTTAATAGTAGAACTTAAATAGTTTTATGATAAAAATCATGTTGTACTTCACGTGCATGGCTTTTTTCCAAAAATAACCATGAATTGGTTTGATATGGAAATTCCGACTTCAAAAGTCTTATCATACAATTAGGCCAACTTAGGCCTAGAGGCCAGCCACAAACAAACAATTACACGTTTATTGGAAAGAGATATATATATTGGTTTCATGTATTATATTTGATATTTGATATTTGATTGATAGTAACATTATTTTCTTTGTTCGAAGTAAACATCAAGAAAATGAAGATTTTTTGGATAGATAGATATTAATGGTAGCATAGATGAGTAGGTGATGAAGCTGTTATAATATTTAAAGCTGTCACGATATATATTTAAAAAAGCATTGTCTTTTTACTTGATCTTTTCAAATGACATACAAAAACGTCTATGTCAATTTAAAATATTCTAAAAGATATTGTTAATTACCTGAGGGAATATCTGGTGAGCTCCTCCATTTAGACTTGCAATTTGCAGAATTGAAACCTGTATTTTGTAGACGACTACACACCTCTTTCATGAGACAGTTGTGGCAGCCATTATTGACCATTTTACAGCTGCAATTAGAGCAGCCATTTTCTGCTGAGTGCTTTCCCTCTTTTATTGTTTCTTTAGTAATGCTTCTGAGCTGTGACTCTAATGGCGTCGGCCGGCATAATACAGACTGAAAATAAATAAATAAAAACAAAATAGAATTTGAGTTAACAATACATATGTTCCAAAATAGAAGAACGAAAGAAAGTGGAATTCTCAGATATCTGAATTAAGGATAATAGACACTTAGCTTGAAATTTCTAATTCAATTGTTTCCGTTTTGTAATTTTTTTTATTGCACTACAACTATTTATTTTTCCATTTTCTGTTTTAAATTTGCGACAACTCAAACCATAGGTGAAGTCATGAAAATTCTGCTACCCTCCCACTATAGAACAAAAGGTTTTACAATTTTTAAGAAATTCTTTAATTTTGATTTGAAAAGTAAACAACAAAAGACCGTTTAAGACCTTCTATTCATTCTTATAGGAACTGAGAACTTAAGAAATAGTGCTGATTTATAACTTAAAAAGAAAAACAAAAAGAATATGATAAGAAGGCAAAGGCGTTATTATGCATTTTTGTGACCTTTTTTTTTGGTTGGGAAAGGAAATAAGAGAAAGAGGAGCTGAAACTTACTTGTAAAAGTTGATGTTGAGTTTCCCAGAACTGATTGTCTTCAACATTTTCAGAGTTTTCTTTCTCCTCATTTTCATCTTCAAAATAATTAACATCATCACTAACACTTTCTAGTGATGAACCTTGACCCTCTTCATCGAGAAAACTAAAAACTGTGTCAGAAATATTAATCGCAGGCTCGCCGGAAATATCAGTTTTCCGGTTGTCCCACGTCAAAATCCGGTGACTTAGAGGTCTTCTAGCCATTATTCCGACCATGGCCTCCAAATTCTTTTATGGGATAAAGAAAGTAAAGCTCTCTTAATATTTGTATTATGACCAATTTTGGGAACTAGCTCTATATATGTCATGACCATGCCTAAATGCGGCGGACCCACCAGTTTGACGTGGACAAAGGAAGGTTCATGAATATGAGGGGTGGAGCCCACATTACAATGGCATATTAACAACTCATACGAATACAGTAGACTGCGAAACCATGGATCCGCGTCAGTCTATGTCAATTATTTCTCAAAAATTCACTTATTTTCTATGGATATACTCGAATATCCTTGCAGAAAAAAAATAAAAAAGGCCAAATACATAAACAATCCATTAAACTTGGCCCAATTTTTCATTTTGGCACTTTAACTCAGCCTTGTTCTATTTTGGCCTCCCAATCCCATTTCTTTTGTTCCACTTTGACACAAAAGCTGACTAGATTCCATGTGTGATTTGCCTTACCCTTGTAGGCGCGTGAGAGCCATTTTTTAAGCCAAATTTCATACTCCCAACGTAGAGCCGATTTCAGAATTTAAATCCTATGGATTCAATTTTAATATTTTTAACATTGCACCCATTATATTTTTAAAGTTATGGGTTTATATCTATTCTTTTGATAATTTTAATAAATTTTTTACATACAATTTTTTACTCCGCATCGAAAGTTATGGGTTCAGTTGAACTCGTAGCTATTACTGAAAATATATATAAAAAAAATATTTTTTCCACGGGAGGGGGGCAGAAAAAACGAAAATAATAATAATTTGAAATTACAAAAAAATCTTTTTTTTGGGGGGTGGGGGCAATAGGTGGGGGTGGGGGTAGCAGCTGGTTATTTGTCCGCGCTGCATTTTTACCTGGGATAAAAGTTTTTGTATCAAAGTGGAACAAAAGAACCCATTATATTTTTAAATGTTATGGGTTTATATCTATTTTTTTTTACAATTTTAATAAATTTTTACTTCGCGTCGAAAGTTATGGGTTCAGTTGAACCCGTAGTTATTACTGAAAATATATATAGTAAAAGTTATTTTTTCCCCGGAATGTGGCAGAAAAACGAAAAATAATAATTGAAATTACAAAAAAGTAAAAAAAATTGACGGGGTAGGGGTGGGGTGGGCAGTGGAGTGGGGGTGGGGGTAGCAGCCGGGTATTTTCACGTGCTGTATTTTTACCTGGGAGAAAATTTTTTGTATCAAAGTGGAACAAAAAATATGGCTGAATTAAAGTGCCAAAATAAAAAATTAGGCCAAGTTTAATGGTTTGTATATATATTTGGCCAATAAAAAAACATAAATATTTTCACCATTAAAATAGTTGTCATGAGTAGCCGCGTATGAATTGTGGGTCCAACTTGCCTCTTTCACCTAAATACAGACGATGTTTTTGGAGGGTACCACCACAAACAGATCGATAAAACTAGAATTTACCTTTTAGCATACATAATTTTTATGTTATTTAGTGTTTAAATATGTTAAAATTTGCTATTTATTGTATTTTTAGTTAATTAATTTAAATCATTATAGTAGTCATTATTTGTTGTTATATATATTATCTTAATCTCGTTATGTAGATAAAAGCCTGTTTGTCCCTAAAAATTTGTAAGTTCCGGAATTCTTTTGGAAATCAAGCTTTCAAAAACCATAGGGTAGTTTTGAACACCTTTTACAATTTTTCGAAAATCCTTTTTTTCCTACTCATAAAACTACAATAATTTTTCAAGTAAAATGCATTCCAAACATAATTTCAAATTTTAAATACTATTTTTTCTTAAAATTTATATAGTTTTTACCCTACTAAATTTCACTATCAAAAAGTTAAACTCATAATTAATAATATACTACCACTTTTGCCTAGTTACAAAAAAAAAAAAAAAAAGAAGCAACCGAATAAAAATATGTTTTCATTAGGGTTAATATATGAATGATGGTGGAATCCTTATAAATACGCGGCGTCATGCCTATGGTTTTTGTTTTCTCGAATGTGAAGGAAGTCGCCTATGGATAAAAGAGAAATCTAGAGAGCGTGCAAGACCTTTTCGGCATTTTAATCTTCACTTATTTGACCAAATCACTCTATAGTTTGATTATCCGCAATTTTGGCCGAGTCTTATCCAGATTGATTGATTTAAATAATTGATACTGACAAAGTTGGGTACGAAAAACAAGTGATGGTGTATTTTCTATCCCTCCTACTCTGTGGTTTAATTCTTTTATTACAAATTTGATCAGAATATGCGAGTAAAATGCGCTCAATAATGCGATTCTAGAGGAATCACCTAGCTTCTTTTCATCTTTCGGGTAAACTCTTTCTGATTTGTGATATTTCTTGCAAATTTGAAACTTCAAAGATCGTAAACTTCACCAAAGCTATCCAGATGCCTATATTCACTATTAGAAATTCGGCCAAAATCGACCGTGGAGTTGGTCGGTCAAAAAACAGATCAAACTAAAGTAGATCGGTTTTTCAAAATATTTTTATTTTTTAATTTTTTTTTTATGAAACCGATCAACTTCGGTTGATTTTTTTTTTTGCGCAAAAATGCGGGAAACTATTGTAACGTCCCCGCGAAATTTATTTTTTAAGAAACCAACTAAAATCAATCGATTTTTCATATAAAATAAAATAAATATTCATAAAACCGACCGAAATCGGACGGTTATTTCAGTCAGTCATTTTAAAAAATCGACCGATTTCGGTCGGCAATTTTATATTTTTAATAAAACCAATCGAAATCGGCCAGTTATTTTCATGCGAAAATGCAATTAAAGAGTACAAATAAAATACGCGACCAAATGCTCTCTCCTCTCTCTACTTTCTCTCTCTAGGTCGTTTTTCACGTCGAAGGCAGCCATGGCTGCTGCGACCTCTCCCCAGCCTTTGGCTTGGGAGGAGACAATACAAAACTCCATAGAAACACTTCCAAACGTTAAGCAAAAACAGTCTTACATTGCACAAGTTCAGTCAAATAAATCTGCTGCAGTTTTGTCCAAGATCGAGTTGAATCCAGTCAATATCGTTCATGGAGAACCTACGGCGGAATTCACCATTGAAGAGGTTAATGCATTCACCATCGAGGAGGGATTGCACCAAGTTGTTATACTCAAGTTTTCATATGGAAAACTAGAATTGCAAGAATTGCAACAAGCGATACCTAAGCAGTTTGATATCAAGGGCTACTGTAACGTGGGACAACTAGAATTTCGACATATATTGGTAAGATTCGATTTGTTTAATGATTTTGTTCAGTTCTTGTCAAGAACGACTGGTTTTGTTAAGGCAAAAGGAGATGAATTCTTCTTTAGGACATTCCCATGGACAGTAGGATTTAATCCTCGTGAAGAAACATCAAAAGCTGTGGTTTGGATTTCGTTACCTGATCTGCCAGCAAATTTTTTTGCAAGAAAATCGTTAATGTCCATAGCATCAGCAGTGGGAAAGCCTCTTGCAGTGGATAAAACGACTCAAGATCGAACACGACCAAGTACGGCAAGGGTTAAAGTCTTGATCGATTTACTGGACAAACATCCTAAGAGAGTTAGGATAAATATAGTGGACAAAAATTCTGGAAGAATAGTTGAACATTACCAGCAGATCGTGTTTGATAATTTACCAAAATATTGTACTTGTTGCAAACATCAAGGGCATGATGAAAAATCATGTCGTTGGAGGATCGAGGAAAATAGGGAAGGTGCAGCTCGAGTAGAAAAAAATGGAAGGCTTGGGCAGTCTTGACAAATTAGAAGATGATGCCAGGGATTATATTAATGCCAAAAGAGCTGGGCAACTGGAATGTGAAGCAGCAAAAGAAACGCTGGTTGAACAGCAGGTTTTACAAATCGATGGAGGAAAAGAAATTGCTAATAAGAACAATGAGAATATGATGACTGCTAAGAAAAGCGCTGGAGGTGATATTTCAAAGTTTGATAAAGGTCCACCTCCACCTTCACGCGATGTGCCTGCTAGAACAACCTTAGTAAGACTCTCTAATGCTGTCAATCCAATTGTAGAAGCATATGACAAGTTGGCTAGTGCTGCAAAAAATTTGACAACTGATACAGGATCAAAGAGTAATGCAGATCGTGATGAAGCAGCAATTCAGATTGTTCAGGTTAAGGAGGGTAATCGTGAGAAGTTGGAGCTGATTCAACAGGGTAAGGATGTTAGTAATGCAGAGGAGGATAGGGTAACTGCTACTGAAGGAGTTAAGGTTGGGATTGAGGCTAAGTTTTCTCAAAAACCAACGGCAGGTAATCAAAAAAAAAAAAATTGCAGACCACATCTCTGATAGAGAAGCTGTTGCCCAGACTTCTGAGAATGAAAAAGTGGGGAATAAGAACTTATTGGTGGAAAATAAAACTGAGAAGGTGATAGTGGATGAGAAGGAAGATGCTATGAACAAAAAGGAAGGAGATTGGAACTTGGTAACAAATAGAAAATCGCCCACAAAGAAGCAGGTTTCACCAAAACAGCAGAACAAAAGTGTTCGACGAATTGACTTCAATGTTGGTTCCAGCTCAAATATTTTCGAGGTTCTTGCTGCAGCTGGGGACCCTGAAGGTGATGCAACAGGTTTACATGATAGTGGGATGTCCAAACAACTAGTTCCAATGCCCAGTAATGGACGAGGAGGCCAAGGCAGTCTAGATTTGGTTGAAAAATTGGGTGTTCGACGAAATAACTCAAATAAAAATCTGGAGAATGAACTAACAAACGTCCAAGCCCACAGCTCCAATGCACCTATACTACACTTTTCCAATCCCCAAGTCGAACAAATCATCAAAGAAGCACAAAAAGAAATGGTGATGAGTACTACCTTGAATAAACAACCATTGGTCACCTTAAACACCTCCGTTTTTGATGTGCCCTCTCAATCGGCTGGATCCTATGGGGAGATTGAAGGTGAATCTGGGCAGCATATCTTATCAATTGGGAACAATAATGAGATTATCCAAGCTAAGGTGAGAGGGATGGCTATCAACTCTAAGTTGTGGAAAGACCAACGTGAGGAGGATGATGAAGAGGATTGGGGTGATGGTTTTGTTGG